ACCTGGTGTTCAGTCATGTTGTGTTCAGGCGTGTTGTGTTCAGGCACCTGGTGTTCAGTAATGTTGCGTTCAGGCACCTGGTGTTCAGTCATGTTGTGTTCAGGCGTGTTGTGTTCAGGCACCTGGTGTTCAGTAATGTTGCGTTCAGGCACCTGGTGTTCAGTCATGTTGTGTTCAGGCGTGTTGTGTTCAGGCACCTGGTGTTCAGTAATGTTGCGTTCAGGCACCTGGTGTTCAGTCATGTTGTGTTCAGGCGTGTTGTGTTCAGGCACCTGGTGTTCAGTAATGTTGCGTTCAGGCACCTGGTGTTCAGTCATGTTGTGTTCAGGCGTGTTGTGTTCAGGCACCTGGTGTTCAGTAATGTTGCGTTCAGGCACCTGGTGTTCAGTCATGTTGTGTTCAGGCGTGTTGTGTTCAGGCACCTGGTGTTCAGTCATGTTGCGTTCAGGCACCTGGTGTTCAGTAATGTTGTGTTCAGTAATGTTGTGTTCAGGTACATGGGGCTTCATGCATAAAGGATTACGCAGCTTTCACACTAAAAGTTGACGTACAGACAAATTTAGAAATGTGCGCCGCACCTAAATATTCACATGTATAAATCCGTGCACACACAGGTTCCTGCGCACCTTTCCTTTATACATCCCAATGAACATGGAACTGAGCGCACGTGAGACTCCTCCCCTGACACGCCTCCATTTAAATCTGTAAAATAGATGTAAATGTGTCCAGAGTGTGAGATTCTCCTTAGATTGTCCTCTCTGTGGGATCAGAAATGATTTTTAGATGCTGGAAAATTATACATTAAATGGAGAATGAGTGAGAAAACTGTCTAAATAAGGAGTGGGGTGACATTGTTTTATGTGGTGCATTTACACGGGATAACCAAAGCCTGAGATTCTCCTGAAATTTACAGACATCTCCTGAATGTGATGTTGATATTGTTAGTTGTCTATTTAGTTGAACACGGCGTTGAACGGACGTTAAAATAAATAAATAAAAAAACATCAAGTTATCCACTTTCTCCTCTCTCTTTTCCTCCTGTGTTACAGCAGCGCTGTCATCTCCACGTACAGACCCCCACCCCACCACCACGAGCAGGTACGAGTGGTAGATTATGGATTTTTAGTAAAATATATAGATGTTTGAGCCTCATTAGACGGTAAACGTCCAAAGGAGTTGACAAATATGAACACCTTCCCAGCTGGCGAGGGTGAACACGCCTGGCACGAGAATCTACCCAAAGCACAGCTGCTGCACTACGGCCACAACTCAGCTCAGCATCAACCAGAAGGRRACACACAGAAAAAATAATTATTCTTACCGTACAGTGAGACACCATTCGCATCTGATTTTGCTCCCTCTCTTCAGCCTTTCTTATTTTATTTATTTATTTTATGTCGCATGTAATGAGTCGGGTTTTTCCGGCCCGGGACCCAAAAGGTTTTCAACTATGTGACAAAAATATAAAACCAGTTTACAGACTGGACTGAGGGTCTTTGATCAGTTTTAGYCTGATCTGTTTTCWTYTCTGAGGTTAAATGATTTTCAGTTTCATCATCGTTCAGTTTAAACAATAAAAACTAAAATAAAAATCTAACASRGTGTTCAGATGCTCCTTACATCCAGAAAACACAACAGAGTCATWRTTCTGTGGATTCAGGTCAGATCTGCGACTTTGTGAGTTAAAACTGTCGACTGAAAAACTTTGTGTGTCTGCTGCACATTCTCACAGCAGGTGAAAAGTGTGTAAATATACAAACACTTTCACGCAACGTTGGTTTTAATACATCACAACGTGGGCGTAGAACCTGGAGCACATAACTTTTTTACCGTTTATACATGAGGCCCCCGGTGTTCAGTAACGATGTGTTCAGTAACGGTGTGTTCAGGAACCTGGTGCTCAGTCGTGRTGCGTTCAGGAACACTCACCCTTGCTGTAGCAGATGATAGCCTGCCGGACGTTGCCCTGCTCCAGAGACATGTCAGCTAAGCGGACCCACTCCTCACAGTCTGAGGGGTTCAGGTGTGCAGCGATGAGTCCAAACTGCAGAGCTTTGTCCACGTCACTGTTGTCCTCGTAGATCATGGCCAGAGTGGAGAAAGGCTCGTAGGCCAGGGGGGCTGCAGGACACACTCACATGTGGGTCAGAGGAACCGACACAGAACCAGGAGCAGAACTGCTCTCCTACCCTGCCTGATGATCTCCATGCACATCATGATGGCGTCCTCCTGCTCTCCTCGAGCGTAGCGTATGTTAGCCTCCCCCATCAGACCCCGCAGGGCCTGGGGCAGCTTGCTGCCATGACGGCGAGCCTAAACAAGAAGAGTCAGTCAGAAGGAGGAGGACGGTCCTGTGTCTCTTCAGGTCCAGATAAAACATGGTGGACATCAGAACAGCAGCAGAACTGCAGAACAACTGGCAGAGGAGCAGAATTACCAAAGCAGTAGCTAAAAGTAGAACAAGGTGAAGCAGAGGGGGCAGAGTGCTGCATACAAGTAGCTGAATGTCAGCTAAAACTGTCAGAACTTGTGCTTTTGTGAAGAAAGACCGTCCATCATTAAACAGAGGTGGAGGCCTCCGTTTTCAGTTGTCCCCCACCTACAGCGCGGCCATTGCCAGTATCGCTCCACCCCCTGTTAACAATAAGTGTTAATTAGGTGTCAACGATAGCCATGTGATGTGAGTATCAGTCACA